TATATTACCATCTGATGGGGGGGGGGGGGGGGGGGGGGGGGGATTCAGTTCAGAAAGCAGGATTCAAGTCCAAAGTGAAAGAACTACATAAGGAAGTTAAGTTTACAATTACCAGCTGATGGTGTTCTGAACACTGCAAGAGCAGTCGTGTCATTAACCCAACGGATTGAGACTCCCCGATCTTTGAAGTCGTCCACAAACCTTTCTAGATCTGTTGTTTTTGTGCTGGGAGGGAAGTCAGCCAGGACAAGAACATGATGTGTGCCATACGTAGATGAAACTGGGAAAAATGAATCATGAGATTTACTGTCATGCTGGGAGAATTCAATTAGTCAAAACTTAATCCTTAATCACACTACTCCAAGGCAAAAAGTGGGATCATGCTAAAGCTTAAGAAAGGCATTCTCTTTGACGTTTGTCCATCTATTAAAGAAATTATGTCTCAAAGTTTTGAACCTCTGCTCAAGAAGAACTACAACACAGAAGAATGTAAATTAAGACGCGAAATACCATGTTTTGATTCTCTACTCTGGCCAGTTTCTCCGACTTCCTCATCCTCTTCATCATCAGAAACAAGTGCATCAGATTGCCGATCACTATACAATCCATTCTTCTTATATGAGAATGTGCCCCTCCCACGGCGCTTTGGCTTTTTATCAGCCTCTTCTTTCTTTGAGACTTTTGACACACTCGGCAGGCAGTCAGGAGAGAGCAATTCACTGGGTGCACGATCTGCCGCAGCTTCCCAATCTACCATTTTTCCATAATACCAGTCAACACCACTGTCGACCCAAATTGTGAAATTACTAAATGGAGAGTTATGCACAACTTAGCAAAAAAAAAAAAAAAAAAACAAAAAACAAGATGTTCGAGCTACATCACATGAGAAACCAATCATCCTACATTAAGCTAAATTCAGCATCCAAGCACAAAGAATGAGCAATCTTTCGATCTCCTTGAAGTAGAAAAGCATTCAGCAAGCAATGTTAGCAGGGGGATATCAGGAATCAAATCAAGAAACCAGGTGTTAAACATACCATCGTCTGAAGCTTCATCACCACCAGCAGCAGCAGACTGTGACGAGGGTTTCTCAACACCGCCTTCACAAGAATCAAACCAATAAATTGCTATTTCCGCAAAGCATAATGACGAGAATCGCTACTATAATCAAACAGAAAACTTTACCGTCACATCGAGAAGAGGAAGCGGCACCAAAGTACGAATCTTGATCGTCCACGCGGGAACCAAGAGCGCGGTGTCTGAGGAGCGCGGCGCGGGAGCGAAGTTCGTCGGACTTGAGGGAGAAGTCGTTGGAGGAGTAGAGATTGGCCAATTCGTTGAGAGCGGAAGCCAATTGGAGATCCGCCGCTTGGGAAGGCGGAGTGGGTTGGAGTTGGAGTTGGGACACTACGGATTCCAGGCGCGAGATTGCGGCGTCTGTGTCGCCGGAAGATAGAAGATCCTCGACGGCCTCGCTCCAGTTCAAGTTGTTATCGGAATCGCGCGGTGGATCGCTGGCGCTCTTTTCCATCTTTGCTGCTCGGCGCAGGAAAATGAGGAATGACGAGGACGACGTCGGCGGCACAGCAGCAGCTATTACTTTATAGCATTAGATTGAAGAGGACCGAATTGGGCGGGCCCGATTGATGGGCCTAGACCAGTCTGGACTTGGGATTTCCTTCTCCGACAGCATTTTCTTTTTATTTCTTTTCCACACAACCTCCAAATTTTACATACCAAACCAAATATAATCGATCAAAATTGAATTGACATTTGGTTTGTATTAGACTTTCAATGTCATATGGGACTAAATAATAACTGAACATGTTTTCGATTCGGTTCTATATCAGTTCGGTCAAATTCTGAATCGAACCATTGCCGATTCGAGATATCAATCTCAATCCACTAATTAGGGGGCCAAGGTCAGATCAATTACTAATAAAATGCAGCACAGAGTGAGTCAAGCACCAAAAGGGAAGGCCACAGATCAATTACTGTGCCTATGCAATGATTCAACACAAAAAAAAATATACACTCTGCAAGTGCCACAGATCAATGCTTTGGGAGATGTCCTTCCTTCCATCCAATGCACACTCTTCAGCTTTACCCTCTCCAGCCCCCCACAAAAGTTTTACAGCCAACTACCTGGAATCCAGTGTACATTAGAAAATCTTCAAGAATCTTTAGCTTTCGAGTCCGAAATCAGCTCGGAATCGGATGGCACTCGGTCCGTGTCATGAACGATCGAACCTGCCACATTTCAAATATGTTCTATGTTAAACCCACAATTGGATGAAAATTCATCATTCCCAGCACTAATAATACACACAGAGGTTCTGTAGAGAGCTAAGTACTTCAAATATGCAGAGTTCCTTTTTGTTTTTAGTTTTTTCGCTGAATGGAAGTTCCTATTTAACCACATTCCAGAAGATACTGCAATCGAAATGGAAGATCACGTTCTATAACCAGAGAAAATCATATCAAAACTAAAGAGAACTAGTTTAAGTTGCATACCAAAATTACAGTCAGCAACACCAACAAAACCGTCTGGTTAGAGGTGCCAAAATAATCTTCAATGCCTGAAATTCAAGAAAGCAGAGAAGGTTAATATCAAAAGGAAGAAACAATTAGAACCATACAATCAGCTGTTCAAGGTTTCATATCACCAGCACACGCCTATCAGAATCTCATCCTTTAAATATAGAATAGTGCCCCACTGCATAGTTTGGCAGACACTCTCCAAATTACTAGCAAGAGGAGTGATTCCTTGGATGTTACACATTGACCAACGAATTTGGTAATAATTCCTACAAATAGTATAAAAAGCACATCATGCAAGCAGAAGAATGTACTTTTCAATCAGTTCACCCACATTTTCCTTCTTCGAGACTCAACAGCTCAATATCAGAAAGACATTTCGAAAACTTCCCTGGCTATCTACATGAAATATCAGTTACTTTCAACAGTTACCAAACTGCAGCTTTCAAGAAAAGTTAACATTTTGCCTACCAGGTTTTCTACTGATGATTCAACTATGAGAGTTTTCAGTGATGATTTAAACTCTATTCTCAGAAATAATAACATCTCAATTCCCTCGAGCTGAAATCTATCACAAAAATCTCTCAGTGAAATTGATCAAGGACCCGAGAAATATACGCAATCACGAACGTGATGACGCCTGCAACTAACTACATTTTACAGTGTAAAACCCTCCAGGTGCAAGAAAGCTTCACGCCTTCTCTTGCCTACCTTCGACGACAGATTTAAGATTTTCATGCATCTTACTGTAGCATTTTTTATTAACTTGATACCGATCTATGGCCTGCTTATGACTTGACAAAATCTATAGCAATAGCAACTCTTTGTGGCTTGCTTATACCTGTTAGGTTGCAATACTTAGGAAACAACAATTACAATTCTGATTCCTAATCAGCTACTGAAGGGCAGAAATCCTTCGACGAGAGGCAACATGTACAAATCACAACACTAGGACTTCATCATCGTCAGTAACGACCTGCCCAAAAACAGTATGAAAACACCTCCAAGTATCCAAAAGTGACATCAAATGAAATGAAGAGCAAGTAATAGCACCAGGATTCAAGCCTGTGCAACTAACAATACGAAGATCTACCTATAGTCTTCGATCCTATCACATATACATACAAGTAAACACATTTAGCTAGATGATTAGATTGTTATGACAAATTCCCTTATCTTGTAAAACCAGTTTGATTTCTGTAAACTTCTACCACTATATTCAAACAGTGAAAAGGTAAAGCAATTAGGAAACAAAATACTTCCACTGCTAAATCAAAACAGAATGCAGAGAAAGACAAAACCTTTCAAAAAGACTTATCCTTCAACGTTCATTTCTCCTCCGTCCCAAAAGCATTCTGAATACTCTCAATGATCTTCTTCTCAGCATCCAAAATCATATGCATTCTCTTATTCTCCATCTCCATTCTCATCTTCTCCATTTCCTTCACCATCTCTATCTTCTTCTTCTCCATCCCCAACAACTTCCCAGCAAATGCCCTCATTTCCTCTGCCAAAACCAATGCCGCCGCCCCTCTTCCATTCTTCTCCCTTTCCTTCACTCCCTCTCTCTTTCTCTTCTTCCCACCCATCTCCTTCAAACTCCCTGAATCACTCCCACCAAAACCATTACTTGAACTCGGCTGCCGAATTATGTAATTGATACTCCTTGACCTACTCCTATACCCAGATTCCTCTTCTTCTTCCTCCTCCTCCTCTTCCTCCTCCTCTTCGCCCTCCTCCTCTTCTCCCTCACCGTAATCATAATCCTCTCCTCCATTAAACCCATCGGGAATTGGCAATAGCGGCAATCCCCTTTCCAGAGCCTCCATCAACCGAAAGTAAGGCCAGGAACACACAGCGCCAAGGGAAGCCCGGCGTTTCTCCTCCCTGTAACGCTTCCGGAGCTTGTCCATTTTGTGGCGGCACTGCGTGGAGGATTTCACCGGCTGGTAGCCGTTGTGGCCGCACCGGGAGACCACGGCGGCGGCGACCTCTTCCCACTGGCCGGCCTTGAGCTGGCCGCGCTCCAGGGCGTACCATTTCTCCTGATACGCCTGGATCAGGTGGACTGTTTGCTGGTGGGTCCAGGGCACCGGTTGGGGTTTCTTGCCGGCGCCCAGCGCCGGCGAATACGGCGTCGACGAGGGATGATCGAGTGGAGAGGAGGAAGTAGGAGATGGAGTGGACATTTGGTAGTGGTGTCAGGGGAGTTAGGGTTAGGGTTTATGGCGGAAGTGGTCAGTGGGGAATTATGGGAGGTGGTGGCGGCGGTGGCGGCGGCTTGCGGCGGAGGATGGTGGTGGTGGTGATTGTGGATGGGGTTAGGCTGAGTTTTGGAGCTCAGCTTAGTGGGCTTTAATGGATGGGCCTGTTTAGCATAGCCCGCTCATCAACTAGTCCAGCCCACTTACAAGTTACAAGCTCGGGGGGTCTGCTTTTCATCTCCATTTCGTGCCTTTGCTATCAAATCTGAAATGACAGCGAAAGCGCCGATGAATCTCCGGCGCCTTCTAATAGGGTCCGCCGTCTTCCGGCTGGCTCTGATTCTGTATGGAGAATGGCAGGATGCCCACATGGAAGTTCGCTACACCGACGTCGATTACCTCGTCTTCTCCGATGCAGCTTCGTTAATGGCTTCTGGGTCTTCTCCTTACAAGAGAACAACTTACCGCTACTCCCCTTTGCTCGCTTTTCTTCTCCTTCCCAACTCTGTTCTGCACCGCTCATGGGGCAAATTCATCTTCTCCGCTTCAGGTGCGAAAAAGTTTCCACATTTGGTCCGGTTTCAGACTTCCAGATAACATTTCGTGTTTAGGATTCTTGTTGATTTTTACCAAGTTGGAATCTTTAAAGAGTTCTCGATTTGCCCTCTTCAAGAGTAGCTGAACTGGCCTTCAATTGACCTTGTTCCGTTTGCTGTTTATTGGGCACGATTATTAAATGGGTATTTTTGAACTGATTCTCTGCAGATCTTCTAGTTGGCTACTTCATATACAAGATTTTGAAGCAACGTAAGGTGGCTGAGGATCTATGCTTATACTCAGTAATGGTATGGCTCCTCAATCCATTTACCTTCACCATTGGAACCCGTGGGAACTGTGAGCCCATTGTTTGTGCCATGATTTTGTGGATCCTTATCTGTCTGATGAATGGTATATATCCTACTTCTGTATTCCTGTCTCCACATTTGAATTGCATAATCAAATTTGTGTTCTTGGCAATGTGTCTCTACTCTGTTGGGCTTGTTTTAATCTCATCAGTAGCCCTCCTGCTGCTGTAAATACATAAATTTTGTGTTACCTCACCTGTTTGTTGTAGTAACTTATCCGAGTAAATGGAATGCCCTTTAAGTTATCGTCATATTGGTGCTTGACATACAACAAAACTGATTTAAGTTTGGTTCTCTAGTTACAGGCTTATGGTGCCTTGGACATGTTGTAGCTTAATGTTGATTCAGCATTTAGGTTTAACCTACATTTCAGTTATAGGGCTTGTTATTGCAGCACACAGCAGTGATTTTCTTCTTTGGGTTGATTTTACTGTATCTAATTCGGTTATTGTGCAGGTAAAATAATCCAGGCAGCAGTTTGGTATGGACTTGTAGTCCATTTCAGAATCTATCCAATAATCTACTCCCTGCCAATCATTTTGGTCCTCAATCCACGTTACATCCAACTGGGAAAGAAGCCTCTCCTTGTGAACTGGAAATCAAACGCCCATAGGCCATCATCCCAAAGCGGCATGGAAGCATCCACCCGATACAACCTATGGACAGCAGCAAAATCCATGTTTTCCAAAGAGCGAGTACTATTCGGTCTAGTCTCTGGAGGCATCTTCTTCCTTTGCACCGGGCTTTTCTTCCATCTATACCAATGGGAATTCTTGAACGAAGCGCTGTTGTACCACCTCACTCGTGCAGATCCAAGGCACAACTTCTCCGTCTACTTCTACCACATATATCTCCAGTATGGTCGCCAGCTATCCCTGGTGGAAAAGCTCATATCTTTCTTGCCTCAGTCGATCGTGCAACTAGTTCTCATATCAACCTTCGCCCAAGATCTCCCGTTCTGCTTCTTCCTACAGACGGTGGCGTTTGTAGCATTCAACAAGGTAATCACAGCGCAGTATTTCGTCTGGTTCTTTTGCCTTCTGCCTTTAATCTTGCCGTGGAGCGATATGAAACTGAAATGGGAAGGGCTGGGTTGTGTCGGGTTGTGGATGGGAGCTCAATTGCATTGGCTTCTGTGGGGTTACTTGCTCGAGTTCAAAGGCCAGAATGTATTCCTTCAGCTTTGGATGGCGAGCTTGGTTTTTCTTTTGGCGAATGCTTCCGTGATGGCTGTGTTCATCCGACTGCAGAGGTTTTCTCCCATCTTTCTGCAGATCAAGGTGTCAGATTCCAAGAGTGGAGTCAAATCCCAGTAAACCGAGACACCGGGAAGGTGTATCTGACTATCTGTTACGATAATGGTTTGTAATTGCCATGTTTTGATGTTGATTTGGTGCCAGGAGGCCAGTTGAACCCTTTGTAGACAGTACTGCCTTCTGCAATATTTCCACTCTCGCAAAGTTGGGCAGTTTGTCCAACGTGTAAACTCATTCTACCACATGTATGTCGTTCTTCCTGTTCAATCCACATCATCAATCACTTCCACATACTTGAGAGACTACGAGGCTGCTGATGTGGCTAGATGCTGATAAAATATCACCATCAGCTGCCCACGTCAGCTCCACAAACGACACCTCTCCGTACACCTATCTGGTATTTGCAGTGGCAAAACCCAAATCAGTGCACATCTGCTGGATCAGCCTGCCCGATCATATGCATTGAATTCCAAGTGCTGATAGTTCATTGCAATCCGCTTTTGATTTCATATTCAGAATGCAATTGCAGGTTGCTGACGCAGATGATCTTAATAGCAATGGGATGAAATAGCACCAAACATATGTGGCACAAGTGCCACGAGAAGCTTATTAATGGCGGCTGGCGAGACAAAATCAAGCCAACCAGCTGCCAGGATCTACTAGTGTGTCTTTTTCGATAATGGGTTTCTGGGCAGAGTCTTATCCGCCGACGTTCACTGGCATTTATAGCAGCTGAAAGTCAGATAAGCAAAAACGGTATCTTCAGCGTATCTAATATCCTGTTATTTATCTGCTAACCGTGATAAGTGATAACCACACATAAAAGAGATTAGCCAAATGTATATATACACATATACGGCAACACTGACCGTTAACTAATTAGCTTATCAACTTAGCCTCAAGTGTGTTAGGTAGGTATTTGTGGTCCAGGACAGTCACCACTCACCATGGTCAATTATTGAACCAGGTGACATCGACGCGTAGCTGGTCATCTTATCAAGTTTTTGCGCACTCGATTTAGGTTTAAATCATATACGAACAAACTCGGGTAAAACAAGCAAATTCATTTTAACAGTCGGCCAAGTTCTTTTCAGAGCATATTTGGGCTGACCTCGGATTGGTCGAATCCAACATCAACCCACTTGGTTGATATACTCGATGTTTAGAACCGGCTCGACGATCTAGACAATCACGGACCACACGCCCGTCACTAAAAGAAACTTAAACATATTCACATGGGAAAAGTATTTCTAAATTAAGTCTAATAAAATTGGAGGGTTTAGTTTCCATTAGCACCATCATGATAATGAATGATCAATTGAATGGGTGGCCAAAGGGGGGAAAAAGGAAGAGAAGTGTGAAATTGATGTTTGTTATTGTCAATAGAATTGTGATGATATGTGTGGACAGAATGAATGAATATGCACTATCGCCATCCAACAATCGAATTGGAAAGAGAATGCAAATGTACAAACTAGTGAATAAACACATCATTCTGTTTAACCAAAGTACCAAACCCAAAAAAAAAGTCAAGATTGTCATGCTCCCCTAACTCCTGATCTGATCTCCTCTGTCTGTCTTCCTCAACAAAGGAACTTTCAGAAAGAGATAGAGAGAGTTACCACTTTGACAAATCTCTTGCAATTATAGCAGGACGATTTTGCTGCAAAACCCTAATGGAGAGTCTTATCGATCGGCTTTCGGCACCTTAATTTGGTTATATGATGGTCACTAACACAAGTAGTTGTACTTTTTTCTTGTTTGGCATCTAGTCCATTATATGGCTAACCTCATTGTTGACAGTTCTGGACAATTATTCATGGTTGCAATAAGTTTGCAGTTTTTTTTCCTGGTGATCGATGATGCCATGAATGTTACCAAATTGGTTAAACACTATAATCTACCTTAGTGCCTGATATTAGAATTAATTTATCTGGTTTTAACTCGAGACCTTTGTTCGAACTATATGGATGAACTTGTCGTCATCTCTGGATCACTTGGTTGTTTGTGATGTATATGATGGAAGGTAGAGGACTGGAGAGAAGAAAGTACGTAGGAACGAAATAGTCCGTCAGTTGATTTTTTGTTTTTCTGTGGTAACAATTTGAAGGTGAAAAGTATATATCCATATTACAGGTATCAAGATCAAATCATAATGAATCAAAAGGAATGAAATGAAATGGTAAACATACTACGGTAGCCACTAATTAACAGGATAGACTCGCTCCTTTATTCTTGGGCAGATATGAAAATTCCGAACTCCTCGACTTTCATAGAGTAATCAATTACGGAATAATGTGTGATTATGAGATACTATTTCACCATAGATGCTTTGTATTTTCCTTTTGTTCTTTTTTAAACAACGTACACTTAATAAAGTCAAACGTACCAAATCCATATAAAAAAAAGGGAACAAGAACGGTCTTAGTTGAGAAAAAACAAAATCAACCAACAATCCTAATGTATTGTATATTGAGTCAAAGTCAATGTATTTGGAGTTTAGACCAAGTTACTATAATTGAACCAAGATTTATATAATTAAATGTCCGTAATTATTAAACAAATTTCCTTCTTGTTTGAAATATTATTGAAAGCTTTGGTTAGGACCGAAGAAGTATAATGTGATTTTGAGGGGCACATTAATTTAATCAAAATTTCTGTCTTAATCACAGTTAGTTCGTTCTCATTATTGACAAAACCTACATATCCAAACCAAATCGACACACCATTAAAGCATAAATTGATGAGATACCGACAACAAAGATACAAAATATTAATATTAATATTAATAATAAACTGTGAATTATTACTACTTGTTTTTTATAAATTGGTCATTGTCATCATTACTACATTCTAACCGTATCAAGTAAAAAATCCAAAATTCAATTGTATATAGAATATAGATACGGTATAGAAACGACTCTTGAAATTTTGATGGCAATAAAGTCTTGGTGTCCAAATTCCACAGGAGAAGTGAGGTGGGTGGCGGTGGTGGTGACGGCGGCGGCGGCGGGCTTGTGGGCGGTGACCGGTGATGATGATAGTGGTGGAGCCACAAGGCACAGCAGGTGCGACATCCACATAATTCTACTCTTACCTTTCTTCTTGCAAAATTTCAGACAAGAGATTATGAGATTCTTTAGTTTTGAATTATATTCTACCTTTTGGCAATGTAAGAGTATGGGGAATTTTAAGAAATCATGTAATTTATAAGTTGGGTTTGTGATAATTTGTGTAATAATAGCATGCAATATATTTGTTTTGCAAGGGTTATGATGCTGACATGTAATCTAACATTACCAAATAATATGAATTTTGCACTAACAACGAAGCAAGAGCAACAACCGTACGTACGGTAAGATTAAGAAAACATGCACTTTTGAAAATCAGTGAGCAAAAATTCATGCTCGTCAAATGACCTCCTGAAGGATGTTGGAGATAATTATTCAAGGTGCGGGGAATGAATCTCGTTATCTATAAACGTACATTGCAGGATAAGACAAACCCTCAGCCTACAGATGAATACAAGCAACAATTAATCTTTCTGAAATCATCGATTAAGACAAACACGAAATTGTTGTAATGATATCCACTAAGAAAGTTACACACGAATAATCTATAGTTGTCAAAACGTGAACCGGGAACTTTTTACATCCAAATCCATTACCGACCGACCTACTTGGAATGTGACAGAGAACAAAACTTCTCGAACCAAAATCCGTGCCTTCATCCCGATAATAACACGATAATTTCTAAAACTTGAACCCGAAACCTCTCGAATCCAAAAGACCAAACTCGCACCTTCATCGATCGGGTGTCTAGCTAGATGGTTAATTTTTTTTTGGACCCAGAAGTGTCTTTCATTGTAACCGACTACTGCATGCTGTGTCTGAGTATGATTGGGTGAGTGTTGCTTTGGGGTTAGTCATGATTCGTAGTTATGTGCTAAATTGGATTATATATGTTTTGGACGGACAGCAAAATCCAAAGGGTGGACCAAAAAAGATTTCACCATCAATAATATTGTGTAGAAAAGAAGGGGATGAAATCATCACTAATTTCTAACCAAACTACAAAAACAAAAAGAAAAGTGGGGGCTGAAAAAGATTAGGGAAGATCATCATCATCATTCATCAAAGATCATGGCGATCGATCGATTGATCGAGTACGTACAAAGAAGTCCACCACTACAGATTCTCCACCATTACTACGTACTACTTCATCTCTATCTGAGCTAGTGGGGAATTGTAAATGTGGTCAAATCTTTCACACTAAATGAGAGAGATTTTTGAAGGAGGTAGATGTTGAGGTTGAGATGCATTCCGAAGAGAGTTGAACAGAATTATGAATTGAATGCACCAAATAAATACGGTATTATTCCGTTTGAACAACATCTCTTGTCACGTTAGGGGACAAAACACCTAATGCCAGCTCATTTATGCTATTCTGTGCTTATTTACGTCATTTTATACTCATTCACGTAATACTATGGTGATTTACGTCAGAGTGTAAGTTTTTCACGTAAATGGAAATTCAGATTTTTTCTCTCTAATAATTTGTATTGGCTATTTTTTATGGAATTAAATTTGGATTATCAATTAAATTGTAAAAATATGTTGCGTTGATCATAATCTACACAATGACATCCATTTTGATATATTTCAAAGTTTATAATTTTATTTTACAACGGCGTGAATAATTAACAATATGCGTGAATGAACATCAGGTTGCGTGACCTAACAATATTGGTTGTGTGAATAATCAACACTCTTACGTGAATAACGCAAATATGACGTGAATGAAACAAATATGACGTGAATACAACAAATATGCCGCGAATAACCCAAAATCAGGTGTTTTGTCACCTAACGTGACAAGAGACTTCACTCATTTCTTTTAGAGCATCGAATTAGGAATTGCAACATGATCAGATTGAATCATGGATGATTTATCTAAGACTTAAAAAAAATCCTAAAATAAAACTCGAACTCCAAATTGGGACCTTAAAACTGATTTGGAGCGACCTAATAACATATTTTGATAGAGATCTAAGTGTTGGCACGATCAATATCAAATCAGCTATACCACGATGGATCCTCGAACTTGACCCTAGCGATTAACACATGAACCCTGAGTCCATGACTCATATCCAAATACATGTTACAATAGAACATTCCATTCTGAAGTAGATTCTGAAGTAGATAGAATGTTGGAACCCTTGTTGGGTATGGATACAAAAAAGTGAATCATCATATATATATGTGGCCTATTTGAATGTGCATGGAGTATGGACCGATCTCTAATGATGTGCAATGCCTTGAAAACAAGTATTTTTTTATAATATCTCATTTGATTGAGTAGAACTTACTCCTTTCCTAGTACATTGATAATAGCAGAAATATATATAAGAATTATCTATTTATATATATGTTTATTCTACAAGCAAAGGTTGTCTGTCTGCAATCTGCAGGTATAAAACAAGGACACCTTCATGCGTTTCTGTGGAAGGAATCTTTTGCTATTTACCACAAATATTGTAATTTTTTTATCAAAATTACCACAGAAATATAAAGGTTTAATCATGAACTTTTTTTCACCACATACCAA